CTTGTTTAAATATTATTTTTTAAAATAATAATGGCTACGATTGACACAAACAAGTATTTAAGCCATGAATACATAACCCCATCAGCGGATCGCGTATTATATAAAATGGGGTTAAATCTAATACACGATACAAATCCCGGTATTAAACGCACCCGGATCTCAAATCCTATAATAATGCACATCTTATTATGGACAGTGGCTATCAGATCCATACTACCCGTACTGTTACCCAACAGGGATCAAACTGATCGAGGTACTCTATTGCTAATCGGTGATATTGCATACTTGATTAAAATGCCCTTGCATCTAAACATCGCTGTATTCTTATGGACTTTACAGACTATTGTATTTCAATGGATATTCTATTACAATTATCACCAGGGTACAAATCCCACATTTTTGGCATTATTTCGTACGATAGCTGGGAATAGTACCCCGGTATCTGTAGGGTTATATGAACCTGATCAAGTAAATAGCATTGCTAGGGAAACAAAGTATTTATTTAATTTATGTGGATTAGTATCTAAACGTATTATGCCTATAGCCGGGTTATCCTACTTTTTCCCGTACTTATTGAACTGTACCCTATGGGAGACCCTGGTATATGGTGTACCACATGGACTATTAACATGCATTAACTCGTATTATACTTATGGTGTAAGCCTATGGCTATTAATACACTTTTACTTGATATCCAAGTACTTGATGTTAAAAATTAAATCATTACACAAATGCCTGTCCACTCGGATGGGAACGGGATATAAGTGTACGGTTAGAGATATTCATAAAGGACTGGTAGATGTGGATAGGGTGTGCCGAGAGGTGGACGACTATAACCGTACGTATTGGTCGAAGTATTTGGCGAATGTCTGGGCAATTCTGGGGGCAGTGGTCGTCCTATCCCTATATGTGTTGCTATTTGTATCAATGGATATGTTCACCAAATGTCTCATCAGTTTTTCTATAATATTTGCCATCAATTTGTTTGCGTTGAACGTATGGATCGCGTCGGGAGTTAATTACGAGACTAAAAGGTTGTATAAAGGGTTGACTAGTTTTTGCGTGAAGTTTACGACACATACGGCTATGGATTGGCGTAATTATGGGACGTTTGGCAGTTTGGTTTGCATTAAGATTAAGGTAGGATTTTTTAAAAGTTGGTCTTGATTATTTATTGTCAATGTGGGATGGCTAGTTTATATTAGCAAGTTATAATATAATAGTTTTATGTTAGCATTTACAAAAATTAAATTAAGTTAATTTAATACCAATATTATATGATAAATATAATTCTTTGTAACTACTGTATAAGTTACAAGTCCAGTTTACAGTTTTAAAAAGTAAATAACCACTCATAGTACAGCTCCAATTTTAATAAATTTCAAACATATTTATATTTATAGTATTAGTCTCTGTCTAATTTACAGTTTACGTTAAAAATTTAAATTGCTTTAAATAAATCTGTAAACATGTTTGCTAGTCAAATGAGTATATAAAATAAATATTTATAGAAGTATTTCAATTATAAAATGATCCATTGCTTAAATATTTACTAAAATAAAAGGTAATGTTACCCCATAAGCCAATAATGTTTAATTAAAATAATGAATTGTATATTATTTATAAAATAAGGGAACTTTACAGTTTAAATAAATTAATTATTTTTTAACCACGATTCATTATGTGTCCAGAACTTATTAAAATATTTTGAGTTATATAAATGAAAAATAATTTATTTTTGATTTACAGTTTATTAAACAGTTGGTAAAATGTAATTGCTTAAATTATTATAAAATATTATTAACTAATTAGTAAAGCAATTTTTATATAGTATATTAATTTTTGAAATTAAGTATTTAAATTATTTCTATATAAAATTTATAACATAAATTGATCTTGATACAATAGTTATTGTGTTTATGCGAAAGACTGGCTGCAAATACGGTTGGCTTTTGGTGTTGGAAACTATTTATTGTCAATCATTTCCGGTGTTATGAGGTATTTATAATTTTATAACTTATTCAAGTACAAATAACTATTTAAAATTTTAATTTGACAGATTGTGTCACTAATAATCGCGTTGTTCATCAAACTAATCGAGGTCACATAAATTATTAATTATTACAAATATTAATTTTCAATTAATTACAAATTCGTGAATTTGTTTAATGAATTTCTATTTAAAAATTATATTAATTTATAATTTGTTCAATGATAATATTGTAGTAAAGTTACTTATCTATTAAACTTATAATTATAATTAAATTTATATATTCATCGAGATTAAATCTAAAATTTGATAAATATTTTTAAAGTCAAATAATGTTTTATGAGTTAATAATGAAAATGTTAATTTATTAAAATATTTTACAAAAATACAATTATTAAATATTATAAAAGTATTATAAATTAAGTATTATAAAGAGCAGTTATAGAAACAAATTGAATCCGAAATTTATTTTTAAATTATTTGTTAACTTTGATTAAAATTCTAAATCATTATTACAGCTTAAATGGATATATTGGTTTAATATTTTAACAATTAACTATTAATAAATTAATTGTTAAGTTATTCAGTGTTAAAATAAAAAATAATCCTACTAATATTTACCACAATAATTTACCTAACATTTATTGAATAAATATGTTAATTTACAAAATGAATTTGTAATTAATTTTAATAATTTTAAAAAATTAAATATAAGTGTTTATATTTTTTAAATTGCCCGCATTTTGAATAGCATAGTGCACTATATTGTATTGCACACGAAGCTATAATACTATTTATATGGGAGATCCTCATTTACTTAGTATGCAATACCATTAGTATAAATAGTACCAAAACTCCAAATGCAATAACACGATAAACATCACTAAAAATTATACACTAGTATCAATTTATAAATTCACAATTAATAGATATCTAACCATGTAATAATTAACCAAACTAAATCAATTAACCTAAACACATTTGTATTTAAAAATTTTTAAACATAGCTAAAATAGTTAATATGGTAGATGCGTATTTTTTAAAAATAAACTGGCTCTTTATGATTCCCATTTTATATAGTGGGCGTATTTTGTGTGCATAGCATAGTGTAATCATAAATAAATTTACAGTTTTTTAAGTGTTAAGTCGCGTTATATTAACCATATTTTTAATACCGATAAATATACACATAATTTGTATACAAACTGTACACTAATTATAACATAAATATAATACTAATTACTATTAGCTATCAGTAGTCGCGAGCCATGAGTGTAACCGCGACTCACATACTGTCGACAATCGCCTTAACCTGCCTTATGGTGGGCACAGGTATGTCGGGCGAGATCGGCGTACCGGTGCTGCTATGGCGACAGCGAGACCCTCACACCTCCCAGTCGTTGGCTGAGGGGCTGGTAGGCGCCGGCGGGTCAACCGTACAGCAGTTGGACGCCCAGGCCTTCGCCGACGACTACCTGTCCACCGCCGATACGGTGGTGGCGTTCGTGCAGAACCGGCTCAGTTTGGAACAGTTCAGCGCCGGTAGTAGTAGTGATGGGCACCGGCAGCTCGAGTCCGTGCGCGGGCTGTTTACGGACGCAGCGGTGGCGCCGGTACTATAAGTTATTTATTTTTTTATGTAGCATGGTGTGAATAGGGGGTAGTAATTAGGTGGGTGTTAAACTTATGGTGATCTACTATGTAATTGTGTTAATAATTTATAAAATATAGTAGACCCTGCTCCATTTATATATTAATTGTTTTGTCGTAGATTATCAAAATGTAGTTTAAATATTAGTTACAGTTTTATTCTCTCTCTCTCACTCACTCACTCACACACACAATGACATTAAATTAATCTCAAATAGAGAGAGAGAGAGTGAGAGAGAGAGAGAGAGAGAGAGCTGTAAATTAAACACAAAATTAATATTTTATAAGCCATGTCTAAAAGTTCATTTAAATTTGGCTCCTGGTGTTTGCAGTAAATTAATTATTTCTCTAACTGTCCTCCCATTCCCACCCACACACAGACCGTACTGACCGACGTGTTGGAGCCCACACTGGCCTTAAAGCGACGCCACTTCCGCCACGAAGACCCGGATAACTCTGACATAACCATCAAAAACGGCGACAAAGTATGGATCGAAATGCCCGGCGATAGTCTCGTCGACAACGACCGCCTAATAGGAGAACTCCTGTCGAAAATACGCGAAAACATCACCAAAAACACGGTATTCCTCATCACCGGCCGTCACAATCAGTTCCGATCCGTCGATCTGGAGGACAGGGATGAAGAGGACAGTCGTACCAAAGAGTTGAAACGTGTGCGCAGGGCTGACCCCACGCCCGCCCCCGAGGATGACCCGCTACTGATAAAGGTGGGCGCCGTGGGACAGAGGTGTCTATACTATTACACGACAA